TGTCTGGTTGATATCACTACTTTGTCAACTGACGTCACCGAATTGACTTTTATCAAAGTCGAATCGAATTCGATTTCATGAAATCTTCCCGTTGTTTTTTTTAAGTGTTTTTCTACTGCTCTGAATACACAATTATATTAATAACAATATTATATTTATTTGATAATTACTAAGTATTCTATTAAGTTATGCGCTGCAAAAGTTCCCTATTAAAACAATAGAAACATTTTTAGTTGGTGAAAATTCTATGCTCTATTATTTGAGGAAGAAAATATTAATTTAAATTTACGATGACATTTAAAATAATATAATATTTTATGATTATTTAGTTATCATTAATATGGATAACAGATACTATATTATTTATCAGTTAGTTGAATAGCTACGAAAGTCTTATAATAATTTCTCATGTTTTGCATCTTCAACATATTCAAAAATATTCTGGACTATATATTTTTCTAAATGATAGAATGAAATATATATAAAGATAGAATGTAAAGACTTATGAATTGAAATTTTATTGGGTATTGAAACAAACTGAGACTTATTACGATTTTAATCACATAACAACAATTTGAACAATGCATTGATACAATGTCGTGAGGAAATCCATTATTCATGAACTTATTTTCTTTATATATATTGACATTTGATTAATAAATAACGTTAAGTTGCGAATACTTTTCAGACATCAATTTCTAGTTATCTAAAATGCCTAGTATTTTAGCGCGGTTCATTAGGAATAATATTTTATATAAAGGATTAGGTACATTTTTTGTTATTTAATATACAAATATAGAATTAAGTTTGTACTAGGAATTGAACAGAAATATTACTTTTATTCATAAATATAATTTAAATATAAATATAATGAATGTAACATTTTTTTAATAAAGTAACAGATCCATTCACTATTTATTATCCAATTTTACATTTTAATGTGAGAAAATTAAGAATGTATATATCGTACAGGTAAAAAATTACCTGGAATTCAATTTAATAATACTATTTTTATTCGAATTTTATTAAAAAGATTGATTTGAAAATGTAAAATGATATTTTAAAAATATATTTAATAAATTATATATAATTTAAATTTCTTATAAATTAAATTTAAAAATATTTTTTTATTTAAAGTTTCTGTAAGTAGAATGGATTAGGACAGTTTTGTTAAGAAAATAAATCGGATTCTTAAAAATAAATTTATATAAATGTTTAGAGAGGATTTTTTTTTTTTTTTTTATGTGCTTTTGTATATACTTGAAAATATCTTAACAAAACAATTTTATAGATTATAATGTATATACACTAATCATAAGAGAAAGAGAAACAGCCTCCATATCATATATACATTTCTAGAACTTTTTCAGCCAAAAATGAGTTTATGAGTTTAATGTTAAAAAATGAAAAATATTTTTGATTTCTTAGTCTGCACAACAATAACATAAAAACATAATGTTTTCACAGTCTGACTACAATAGAAAATATATAAGAAAATCACGTGAGGTGTCCACGCGAATGATCCAAGGATATGTATCTGCATTATTATTCCTTTATATAAATGAAAATTTAAATAATAGGGATATTATTTTAAGTCGTGATAAAATAATTGTGTACCTATTTATTGGCCTTAACTTAGCCAGTCGACTTTTCTTAATCGATTTTAGTTTACATATTCTATTCATGCATGTAGCTTATTTGTTATCAATTTTAATTTAATTTTTTTTACTTCAAACACTTTTATGGTGGGGGGGGGGGGAGGCGATCGCCCCCCAGAAGTCTGATCCTGTGCTGGTAATAGTGAGAAAGTAGTCCATCATATTATTAATATCCGCCTAAAACTGCGTGAATGGCTTTATCTTATCGTATCCTACAACTTTTTAATTTACGAAAATTTTCAATCTATAGATCGGTAAACTTCAGCTATTTAATGAGGTACTAAAAACTCATAAATATCAATTTTCTTTCTATTTGAATTTTAAGATAATTTGATCCCAAAATCGAGAAACATGGTAGCCTACAAGAATATTTGACCGTTCGGTATGACCTCCACGCTCCATGTCAAAATAATAAGGTTGTATAACCCAAAAAGTCCACCCCTAACTACTCCAGCCATCCTTCTCTTAAATTATTCACTACTTCAATCATAAACCCACAATAATGCAATATTTAAATGTAAAGCTATATTTTATAAACTTGAATATATATTCAAAATAGAATAGTATATTTTTTTAGGCTATTAAGTTTCCAAATATGATAATAACGTAGCATATTATAGAAAAAGATTATTCTTTGAGGACAAAAACAATATTTACGATGAAAATATAAATTATCTTTTAAGTCAGGAAATTTTAATTTCATATATAAAGTGCCGATTGATCATTTTTTGGAGAATATTCATACACAATGATTAATTTTATTTTAATTCATATTTTTATATTATTTTAAACATTAAGCTAGTTAAGAAAATGAAAGATTTTAAATTCCGATAATGATACTGGTTTACTTCTACGATGTATTCTTTCTTAATGGTCTTGGAGGTCAAATGTGAAAAATTGCAATGCAATTCTTTTAAAATTTCTTCTTGATCGAAAACCCGCATTCAAAAATCATCCGAACAAAGGTAGACAGGAGCCTTTACTTCATTTTAAGTACCTCTAGATTCCTTTCTTTATTTTTTAGTATGTTTAACTAATTTCAATTTCACTTATTTGCACTGCACATTTTCACCACACACTTGGTTTTATATCTAATTGCTTTGAACCTTTTTTTTTTTCTTTTATATATCTGAATTGTTAACAATACTATATTTGGACTATACTTGGACAAAAAACTGACCAGGCGATACAAACAACTGTCACATCTTTTAGACTACAGATCTCCACTGAACTTACAAAACAAGCGACTAATCTACACCACTATACTAAGACCTATTTGGACATACGGAGCAGAGCTTTGGGGTTCCGCAAAACACACACACACATAAACAAAATTAAAACCACACAATCCAAAATACTCCGTAAAATCGTCAATGCTCCTTGGTTTATTTCAAATCACACCATACACACTGACATGAACATACCAAAAGTAAAATCCTACCTAACAACACGTACACAACATTTCACTCTTCTACTCTCAATCATCCAAATCCACTCGTTCTATCTCTTTCTTCTTATTATTTTAACATGGAGTGTGGAGGTTTACTTTAATACCATTTATTTTACTTTAATGTTCATTCTATCTACTTCATTTTACGTTAAGTTTTTCTACTTAAAATTATTAGTCTATACCTTTCATCTTTTTTAATATTAATTCTGTATTATTCGATGTTATTATCTGGTTCTTCTTCCCAGCCCTGATGAAAGCCTGAACTTCGGGCCGAAACGTCTAAATTATTTATTTTTGCCATTTTAATTTGACTGATCACTCCAACCATTCTTCTCTTCAAGTAAATATAGCATTAGTTTCTTTGAGTTATTAATACAGCTAATCCTTTTGAAATCAATTTCCTCTCATTTCTCTCAAAAGCTGATTCTGAATAAACTTTTTGTTATTCTACAAATAACTTAAAGTCGGATTCATCAGGTCAAAATAAATGTGCGAATTTTTTTCGTTCATCCTTCGTATGATTTTATCCGCATTCGGGGATTTCTCAAGTTTCATTTTATACTTTCTAGAATAAAAATAACAAGTTAGCCCATTTATTTGTGAACATTCGTTAAATCTATGAACAATCGAATGGCATTTATTCCGAAACGTTAGTCCAACTGACCACTATCGGATCCAGGATTTAATTTTGGGGGGGGAGGGGGAGGGGAGGCTTCGTTAATGAAGCCGGCAAGCGAAGCATTGACCGCTGGAAGCACAAAAGTGAACTTTTCTCCTTAACTTAGCCAATACAGTGGAGGAGGTGAAATGTTGGACAGAAATCGTAGTTTTGGCTACAATTAGCATCACATCGTATTACCTTCTGAAGAGTAATAGATAAACGTATATGTTTCAAAACACCTTATAAACATTAAAAAAACGAACATGATATAGAAATGATATTCTAATATTATTCTAAATTAATTCATTCGTGAATTTGTCAGAAAAACCTGCTATATATTTTTTAAAACATTTTTACTATTCAAAATTTATTTAGATGTCCATCTGCGATGAAGTCGCCGGTACTCTCCGTTTCGATTCTCAGATATATACAAAAGAGTATGTTTTTAATCCGAGATCTTATCCGATCCCCTAATATTCTGAGAAATTGAAGTGCAGAGAAAAGTGGTGCTAGCTCGGAAAGTCACACGTATGCTTCTTGTAGAACGACACAATTCTAAATGAAAACGAGCGAAGAATATATCACGCCATTGTAGAACCCATCCTAACGTATGTAGCTGAAACCTAGACCATTTCATTCCAACTCTATTCAAAGGTTCAAGCTGTGGAGATGGATGACAAGGATAGACAGAATTAGAAACGAGGTCGTTAGGGACAGGATGGAAGCTCCTGTATCCGCTAACCAGAGAATCGGACGGCGAAGACTGATGTTATGGCTATGTATATGTAAGACGAATGCCTACCGAGCGATGGTCTAACTGAATTCTTGATTGGTATCCTGGGAATAACGAAGCGAGGACGACTCAGAAAAAGGTGGATACATGAAGTGGAAGAGTTGGCTGGTCGGAGTCTTGAGTCAGGATGGAGTTAGCTTGACGGCGGCCTCTGGAGCTCAGCCCTGACGTAAAAAGGCAACCCTCGATGGAATGCTTATATAATATGCACATAAAAACGAAGATGAACAACAAATTTTGAGGTACTCCAATTAGTTTGAAGCGACTATTATTTCATATACTGCCAATTCCAACACAAAACGAAAAATTTATACTGACCCTAAAATTCAGGCTATACTTCCATACAAAATCCAATGCATTAATCAATGCCTTGCCTAGAAAAATAAGTACTCGTTCTCAAAAATTCAATCTTTTTTTTTTAATTTTGTAATATTTTCTAAATTGGATCAACAACAGGATTAATATGTCATGATTGTTGGATTTTTTAGGTTTTGGTGGCGCCAAATATTTGGCTTGGCTTCCTCAGATGAGTAGCGAGGGTCCCGGGAGACGCCCCAAATGTGCTCGATGTAGAAACCACGGTATCATCAGCTGGCTTAAGGGCCACAAGAAGGATTGTCCATATTCGACATGCTCCTGTGCGAAGTGTGGTCTCATCGCAGAGAGGCAGCGGGTCATGGCGAAACAGGTATATGACTCAATTATATGTTCTCCTTTTTATGAAATTCTTGCAGTGATAGTATCTCAGAGGACATATTTAGTTAGACTAAAGAATTTTACTTCCAAAAAAAGAGTTGGACCTTCTTTTCTTTCTAATCGATCAGAAAAGTAGAGTTACCGGAATAAATATCCAAATTTTTTGTTGTAACATATATAACTTTAAAAACAATTTCTTCCAAAACAAAAGCTATTAACAAAGGTCAACACATTGTAGCAGTCATAGATTCATTATTTTTAATAGTGTAATTCATCTTTCTTTAAATAAGCTTTATAATTTAATACAAGTTCATTTTCGCAGAAAACCTAAGTTTTTTAAAATTGAAGTCTCGAATTATATTATTTTTTTTAAAACTATATAACATAATTCTATGTACATATTCCAAGCTTTTCAATAGGTTGCATTAAAGAGACAACAGGCGGCAGAAGACAGCTTGGCCATCGGAGTGACGGAAGCAGTGACGGGCAAGAAGTTTTGTTACCTTCCCCCGGGCCCGATTCTATCCACTCTACCTCAGCCTAAGCAAGGTAATAAATATCAAATAATATATAATAGATTATTGTTATGTACCGAAAAATAATTATAAATGGGTGTGCATTGTGTGGGAAAATGTGGAAAACAAATGAACCATTCCCTAAAAAAAAAAACTTGGCTGACAGAAAGCGTCTTCATTTTAATAGCTTTGTAGAAACCAAATATACTCAATGCCGCCCTTAGACATTCGGCGCCCTCGGGCAATGACTTAATCTCCTTCAATCCGTAAACAAATTCAATTTGTTTCTTAAGATGTTTCATATTATGAATTTTATTTCCTCAAACATTTCTCTAATACAGTTGCTTTGTTATTTATTTATTTGTTTGTATGCCTCTACCCGCTAGGGTCATTGGCAATCGTCAATTCACTCACACTTTTCATATTCTATTATAAAATCCAATAATTTTTAAGAAGTCCAGTAAGTTGCTCGGTCAAGTAAAGTCTAACTGCCAGGGCTTCATGTGGGGTTGTAAGTGTCACCTCTTCAGAGAAAATATCTTCGCTTACCGATGTAGAACCACCACCCCAGGACCTGTCGGTACACGCTCTGTCTCTTCTGTAGGTTGTATATCCCTATATTTTCATGTTGTTGTTTTCATTTAGGTGCGTTTCTTGCAGGCAACAACACAGAGGACTTTCTTCACTAATCAGCTTCTGAAGGTGTTCAAGGTGTCGGAAAAAACCATTACAGTTCCATTGTATGATACTCTCCATTATCTAAATTTGTCCTTTCATCGCAACTACTGTTCCTAACTACAGAAAATGTATTTTCAGGTTCAGATGATCCAGAAGATTCGAAAGATTTCATGATTTTCGAAAATCTGATTTTCATACCTCTATTTTCAATATTGTTTCTGAGTTCTTTGAGCATTGTTTTTAAACCTGCAAAGTCGTCGGTAAATTGCCGTAATAGTTCATTAATGGCTGTGCTGTTTTAACCTTGGGCCATATCCATCAGAAGACAAAGTCTATCGAATGTGAGTGGATAGTTAGTATTTATTAGATGACGAATAGGTTCTAGAGAATCGTTGGTATTTAGTTTTATTTTTCCTTTTGATTCATTAGTAGTGTTGCTGCAAACGGTTTTAGATGTTTTGCCCTGGGTACCGGTATTCTGTGTAAGAATTTGTCGTTTTTTCACCAAGGTGTTTAATTTTGCATTAGATTTTTTCCCCGAAATTGTTTTTATTGGCACAATAACTCTTTGTTGCTTTTTTCCATTTTTCTGAAAGTCTCTGTTTTCAGTAGGTTTAGGTTCAAAACTATCTTGCCTGATGACCTGCTTTTTATGTTCAATGCTTTTCTCCTTTTTGTTTCCCTTTACAGAGGAGTTAATTTGGGAGCTAGAAGTATTTTCTGTCAAAAGGGGTGTCTGGTCATCAATTGTCATGTGTTCGTTGATGCGTGTATACAATGTTTCAGTGTTGTGTATTTTTCTATCTTCTACAAGACCTGATTCTTTAACACCTACAGGATGGTAACTAGTCGAGGTTTTTTGTAGAATATTTTCTTCAGCGTGAGTAATCTTTTTAAAAAGTAGTTGTGGATCAGTATGCTTCTGTTTATTGGGATCCGTTTGTAGATTTAATCTATCAATGTTTAGACAAATGTTTTTGTTTTCTTCAGTATTGGTTTGTGATTTCTTTGGCCCAACACACAAATTTCCAATGAGTTTTGAACTAGTTTCTACTTCCTCACGGGGCGATTATTAGAATTAGTTGCTGGACCGAGGTTGGCTTTGGGAGTTTCTTCCGGTATATCTGATTTAGGACAGTCTGCAGCAAAATGTCCAGGTTTTCTGCACAAATAACAGATCAAAATAGGCGAAAAGTAAGACCTTCATTGGACTCTTCAATTGACTTCGGCAATCTTACAACATCCTCTGGAGCGATGAAAACTTGTCTCCGGAAGCTTAATATGTGGCCTGTCTTGGGCCCTATATATCCTCCTTTTAAAGAGTTAATTGAGGATAGTAAGTTAACGCCTAATTTTTTAATTTCATTTTCAATGAGCACATTAGGAATGCTGGGACAAACATTCGAAATAATAATGCGCTTAGCAGGATTAATTAAGCGTCGTATGGGTATCGAATATTCCCCAATGGTAAATAGTGTATATAGGTATGTCTGTGTTTTTTATTTTTTTGTAATATTTAAATTATTGTATTTTTATCTATTTTATATGGAATTCACATACTAGACTTAAAAGACAGGTAACTAATAGACGATATGGCCAGGTATATATACTACTGAATAGAAAATCTAAACTTTCTAACGAGAACAAATTACTGATCTACAAGACAATACTGAAACCCATCTGGACTTACGGACTAGAACTGTGGGGAACAGCTAAATTGTTTAACATCAAACGCATTCAATCCTTTCAGCCTAAAGTCCTCCGTACAATAGTCGATGCTCCCTTCTATGTAACATATAAAACCCTGCAGAATAACCTTTATATTTCATTTATTCTAGATCTTATTCCAAATTTCACCAGAACCTTACTCATCACCCAAATCAAGTAGTACAATCCCAATCAAGCACCACCCATCCCTACAACCCCCCTCGTAGGTGAATGCGGCAGTGGTCCAGAGATCTTTTGTAAATATGAATATATTGGAGTTCTAGCAATGGGCAAATTCTCCACTCAAGTCATGAGTGTATTATGTCTAGAAAGTAGCTGATCGACTTGTTCTTTACTGTTGAGATGAACGCAAAAACGATTATTACATATTCGTGAAGCGAATTTAATATTTAGTGGGTCAACTAATTTAGCTAGGCTATCAATGTACTGTTTTTGCTTTATTCCTCTTATAGTAGGAAGTACAATGGCATACCCACGTTTACTTATTGGTTGATTTACTATCATCTCAGCGTATGTTAGCCGATTTAGATTATTTTGGTCTTGAATAATTGGTGGTACTCGGTTATTTTCATTTAGTTGTGTATTTCTTGCAGGGTCTTTCCTTAAATCAGCATCGTGCTCAATGTTTTCCATTTTTGCCGAATAGTGCAATGGTGGTTGGTCCTTCGGCAAAACTTTAACTGTTTCGGTCCGAAACAGTTCCTAATGTTGGTGAACCCACAGCCGTACAAACGGTAGAAGAGAAAACCCAAAACAGGCCTGCAATCAGCTCTAAAAGCTCAATCCTATTTCCAAAAATATTTTAAAATAATCCAGCTCCAGCTGTTATTCCAGTTGCTTTGTTAATAGCCTAAAATTTATTATTTTAATACGTTTTGTATTTTATTTTTATTTCTGACAAGTGTCGAGCCCCCTGAAGATCGGTCGGTGCTCCCAGCGGGCGCTCCTCCAGCTATACTGCTTAAAAAATGAATAGGGATATTGTTAGTTATCTATGATTTATTTTATCTAGTATTCTTATTATATTTTTATCATGAAATACATAGAAAATTAATCTAAAGAAGGATTTATGATTGTGTTTATTTCCACTGAAGTTTAACCAGCTCGTCGTGGTCTCGATTTTCTCCTTAAATATCAAAATTGTGTCAACAATTGTGAAACCATACCTATTTAGTACGTATCACTACTGTTAGTGCAAATTTTGTATGTAAAAGTTTTCAATTTGTATTCTATTTTTGACATTATGTAGTCTGCAATTGATATAAGAAGTCTACTACTACGAAAAATAGCACAGGGCAATAAAATATAAAATTATACTAATAAATCATAAAGAAATAATTAGTTTTTATGCTCTCCTGTAAAACACTCAACTTTTACATAGGTCATTTGCACTAACAGTAGCGATATATATTCAGTATGCACTGGAATTTTTTTTTAATTACGAATTATCAAATATGCAATCTGGAAATGCGGAAGTTTTTCGTATTTTAGTAGTTGCTGATAAACAAAACTCGTGGATATCAAGCTCGTATATGTTTAGGGCTTGCCGAATTTCCGAAAACGGCTTCTTCCATAGATTTTATTCTCGTAAGAAAATTTTTAGACCTTTTAATATAGATATTTTTTAGCAAATGAAAACGGCGAAGAAGCTATACTGACCTTACTTGGCAGACGTTTTTTGTTTATAGAGAATTTAAATACCTTTTAAAACAGTACATAAATTTTACGATAGAATGTATACTTTGCGAGTTAGGCGCAAAACATTTTTCTTTTCTTCGGAATTATTTTCACGAATTTTCTAGATAATTCATTATATGTACAAAATTATAAAGGATTTTAAGTAGAAAATTATAAATTTCCATCAAAATCATTAGAGCCGTTTTTCGCAGCAGAGAATGTTCTTTTCTTATTGTGCAGTCAATGTCCAATTTGTTTCGCAGTCATCGGTAATTTGACTACAAAACTAAAAAATAAGCAACAAAAGTTGGAAATAAGTTGGAAAACACACCAACACCTGAATATGTGTTTCTTCCGACCTAGGAGGCTATAAAACATAAAGATCCGCTGAAGACCGCACATCGGAAATTTGAACCGATAGCAATACTTCTCTTACCCAATAACGGTAGGAAAGTAAACGAGGACATGTGTTGATTGTTTTATATGTCATTGATCACTCTTGGAAATGATAATAATATTATTTTTTCTATTTTTGGGATATGGCTTCAGCCCTAAAGCTTTTTTCTTTCCCTTTTGAATCCGCCAGTGCTACAAAAATACCTTGATCTATTGTAAGTTTAAACCAAATCAAAATATTATAAAAATATTGGCTGTAGTCTGTTGCGAATTCAGGATTTAATTTTGGGGATGGCTAACTTTTTTATGTAACTTATTAAATATTAAGGGATGAATTATATTTTTTCTTGAAAAGTGCTTACATTTTTTAGCTGAGGTTCCTGAATTATAATTTAAAAAGAAAACCGACAAATTTAGACCAATGGAAATTTTTTTTTCTAATTTCAGAGAGGCTTCGGCACAAAATGGATCTTCAGTTAGCTGTAGTAGATCGTAATTATCAAGCTATCTTGAAGACCTAAGATAGCGTTGAATTTACATCAAGAAAACGAGGCTTGTCGTACGAAAACCGTATGTCAGAAATAAATGATTATGTGAAAATAGGATAAACTCAGTCTACCTGTTCGTACAAAAGTCAACAACCTTTACTATTCAGGGACACCGAGTTATATTTAAAACACTTACCAGATGAAACATTAAGTTTCCTCATGGCAGCAAACACAAAATTGAGTATGAAGTTAGAGAGACAGAAAATTACCTAAATGGTAAAGTTTCCGTAGAGTAGACTACAATCATAAGGAGTTCATGTCTTTTACTGTTTACATAGTTCTTATAAATGGTAATTGTTCTGGCATGTCCGAGCTGTTTTGGGCTGTCGTCCTAAGTCTTAATGTCGTCAAATTATCTGTTACCGGGAATATAACAGAGTAAGCTTATGCGTCATTGTTGGTCCCGAAGGTTGAAATTTCATGTGTAATATTTTATTGGTTCGGAGACCTTATTTTGAGAAATCATTTTCATGAGGGCTTCTTATGTGTTTATTTAACAAACAAATAACGTTGGAGATCCATCATACCAGGATGAAGTAGTAGCCATGAAGTAATTTATCATTATTTTATTTTCACGAAGTTTAATTGCTCATTTGTCTACAAGCGATATATCTGTACCCCGGGGATATGGAATACCATGTATATTAGTTCAGGGGAGCCCATTTTCCATATCTTGAACTGTTAATAATTTTTTTTTTGTTACTAAATATATACCCTGGAGGTAAAGAGCATCATGTAGTAACATTTTTGTATTTGTCCGGAGAGCCAATTTTCCATAACTATGAGCTATTAAAATTTGGTTTTTAGTTACTAAATTATTTAATAAAAAAATGGACATGGTGTGTTTTTCTTTGGGGCACAAATTTGAGAAATACGATTATTCGAATTAAAAATATAATAGTAGAGATAGGCGCAGACTTTTCATTATGGTTTGTGGCAATTGAACCTAGTGTTACCCAAATAAGAGACCGAGACGAGTCTTGGTCTTGCAAACTCAGTCTTGGTCATGGTATCGTGACAAGAGTCTCGTAACACTCTTGCAGTTACTTATTAGCTTATTATTACTGTAGTGATATTACTGTAATTTTTTAGATAGGAGAAACCTAACTAAGCCCGAATGAAAAATTAGAGAAGTTAAATGTAAAAGTATATTGTTTATACCAATTATTAACATTGAGTACTAAAATTGTGGAGTATTAGTAATTATTTGGCCTCATTTTTTACTTTAAAAATCGATTGTTTTTTACCAGTTCTGGTCTTGGTTTTGCAACAGTCAGACGGCCTTGGTCTTGGTGTTGCAAAGTGCAAAGTGCAAGACCAAGACCAAGACCAATTTTGGGCAACACTAATTGAACCCCATCCCACCCCTCCCCCAAAAAAGTCCGGGAGGTTTATATTATGTATGAAAATTATGAGTGATAATTAACACAATCAACACAATTATTGTAAAACTAACAATACGATACTATAAAAATAAACTTTTATGTATATATTATATATTAGGTTTATTTATTTTTTTCAAATGGGTATATTTAAAAATATTTCAACAAAGCATTTGAATATATTGCATATTTTTATTCAAAGGTTTAAGACAGTGATATGAACTCACAATTCTCTGATGCTTCATATTTGCAATAGAAATTGTTAACAAATATTAACGTAAAATGGAAGAGTGCAGATGAATGAATCATTAAATAATAGGATGTTTTACCTGATATACTTATCTTTGAATATAAAGTAAAATTTCATTAATAGGAACATAAGGCGTGTTAAAATATTCCCGTAACTACTAGGAGTTAACTTAGCCATCTAGTCGACATTTCCTATTTATTAATTGATTTTAATTTACATATTTTATTAATTTATTTATATTAATTGTTATAGATTTTAATTTTATTTTTGTTCTTTGAAACATTGGAATGACGAAACTCTATTCTCGCCCCCTGTCTATTTTATTGGAGGGGAGGCAATCACCCTCTCGACGTCTACGCCAATGATAGCAGGAGTTGAATGTGGCTGCGGTCAAATATGGAATTACTCGCTAAAATGTTTACAATAAAAGCATATATTATTATATTATTATATATTATTATAAAACTATGTAATAAATCTCGACCTTCGAACACTGGTTACTCCAATTTGATCTTTTTGAGTAACCCATCTCGTGTGTCAACGGACAAACAAACACGAGCAAAAATGGTACCCCGTTTTCAAATGAATTTGAAGAATTTTACAAGTTCAATATGATCCTGATAAATGATTTTAGCTGAAAGCAACTTAAAAGAATTCAAGACATCTCACGTAAATTATGATTTGTTTTTATTTATTATATTTCACCAAAAATTAAACAATTTTTACAAATATACTTACAAAAGTTGCTAAAGATTCATTATATTTGCTCTCGTAGAACAATGCATTGCCGTTTCTGAAACTAAAAATACTTTACTTATTAACCGCCTATTTCAAAGATTTCACTAGCAATGGTTTCACGGATTAGGAGGGTATTGAAACAGGGGATGACTACGGCAAAAACATGTTTTTTAAAAAAAAAAACACTCTATTTTTGACACAAGGGAACATATGAGGACGACTTAAAATACATTTTTTTGTTTATTTTTTTTAGGATCATCATATTTCCAGTATTAGATAATTGTACCAGAAGAGTGATACTTTATTTGTCTGATCATTTCCCTTATGGATATGACTTGTTCTTAATTAAGACCTATCTATATATGCCTTTTCTTTTTTTTCGTCTTGAATTGTTGGATATTTTTTTTCTTCTTAATAATCCTTTTACTGCTAAAAAGCATTGTAAGGTGTATTTTACTTTTTTTGTCATTTCTGAGTACTTTTTCTACATCTGAAATATAATCAGTGATGGCTTATAATATAAGCTTACTTCAAGCTTGAGTTGACCTCATCCTCTAGAGCTTACTACTAAACTTAAAAATTTATCTTATGTAAGCTGTTGTCAATGTTTTGGAATGTTGGCTGGTAATAAGTTGTTGAAAAGAGGGTTTGCCAATTGTTCAGACTTTTCGAAAAATGATTTTTTTCGTTTAATGAGAAATTCTTTTACTGTTGATAAATTCAGTGTTGCTTGTTTATCCAGTATTTTTATTCTCTTCATCGTGGTTCCTCTTACTATTTTTCTGATTATTCCATTTTGGAAATATTGTAATCATTTTCCAGTTGATTTGCTAACATGAATATACCTTCATTTTTTTTTTTTTTCCTACCCCCAAGAATTTCTTTATTACAAAATACAATATATTAATTTTATATATACATATTTTTTTATTTATTTCCTTTTATTGCCCAAGGGCATTTTAAGGTAAGAGGGCTATGCACGCTATATGCGTACTTTGCATCTGTGGCCAGAGGTCTTTTAGATGAATATACCTTAATATGCATTATGATTAATATTATACTGTTACAGAGACCTTAATACGGGAAGAAGAGCGTTCAGTAAATCGTAAATCCAGCATCGATATGCTCATGAAGTTGTTTCCAGACAGAAAGAGATCGGTCCTGGAGTTAGTGTTCAACAGGTGTGATGAACAGCTCATGCAGGCCATTGAGCTCTGCCTATCCTCATTTAAAGGTAAAAATCTGTATTATTGAAAAATATTTTAATAATGTTGTGCTCTGAAATAATTTTAAAAAACCGCTACAAATTATTTCACAATGATTTATTATTTCCTAAGGGTTATTTATTTTTTTTAAACTAATAATTCCTTACATTTCCATGTATCATCTCATAGTGGTCTGAGAGCAGCAAAAAACGATGTTTTCAAGGTGTTCAGATAATTCATATTTTTTTTTATTAGTGACGTATTTAACTCACATATTCCAATAGCTTAGCCACGAATAAAAATATTGGTTAAAATATTTTCAATAAAGTATAAATAAAAAACCTGTTTCTACTAAACTAATTTTGCAACTTGTTAGATATCAATAAAAATATTTTTGGAGTTTTTGTTGAGTTCTGAAAATAATTTTTTGTTGAGTAGTTTGTTGACATGAGTAAAATAAGTTATTTTTTAATAAATTCTAAAATTTCGTGTTTCTACAGGACAAGTTATTACTCCATGGTTACTGGAATTTCCTTTTCTATTGGAAAAGTATCTTGCGCCAACGACCACCAAAGTATTACTGTGATCAAAATGTTCTTTTAACCCTATACTAATAATAAATACAAAAATCAGCTGCAGTAACCAGTGGGTTTGGCAATTATCTGGAAAATTCAGTCGAGAGAGCTATAAGATAATCGCGCAATATAAAATCGTATCTATACATTAATGAATTAATAACTAATATAATTTATTCCTTCTTGTAATAGAAAGCTGAAAATAAAGTATAGAAACAAATAATACGAAAGAGATTACGAAGGAACAGATCCAAATAACAGAGAAATTTTATGACTCAATATTGATTCTGAGATGTTGTTTTCAACTCAAAAGCGTATATTTTGTTTTGTCTTCATTTACTTGTGGGCTGATTTGCTTTGCTTCTCTTATAACCGATTTTTCAAGTATATCTATGTCCTGATAGCAATATAGGTAATGAATATTTATTATTATGGGTTGATGGTTGACTGTAGTGAATAATTGAAGAGAATGATGGTTGGGGTGATCAGTCAAAATAAAAAAAAAGCAAAAATAAATAATAATATTTATTTTTACATTTGCAGACGTTTCGGCCCGAAGTTCAAGCCTTCATCAGGACTGAGAAAAGAACCAGATAACTATAGGTATCTAACCTATTGTTATCTGGATCTTTTCACAGTCCTGATGAAGGTCTGAACTTCGAGCCGAAACGTCTACAAATGTAAAAATAAATATTACTATTTATTTTTGCTATTTTTTTTATTTTGACTGATCACCCCAACCATACTTCTCTTCAGATATTTATTATTGATTTGGTAAATCATTTTTACAACTTATTACATATAAATATATGTTAATATATTTATATATGTTAATTTATATATTTGTAAAAAAAATTAAAAATAATAATAACGTTTTCTTATCGAAATGGTTTGTCTCTATTAATTAAGAAGTCCTAACATGCTATGAAATATTAAGTTTTTCTAATATATTTCCTAAATTAATAATTTTCCTATGTTTTTGCCTATGTTATATTTTGAGGAACTATCACAACCTCATATAGAAAAAAGTGTTAAAAAGTCCTCCGGTCCTATATCGCCCACAATTCTTCTTCGTTCATTGTTTTTAAAATTTTTAAGAAGTTCGAGTAAAGACTGCAGACATAGGTTTTTTTCTTTTTTTAATTATTGCTTTATGTCAGTGAGGAAAAATGTAACTTTTAGCTTCCTTCGCCAATCTTCTAATGATTTCATATTTGTATTTGGATAAAGAAGCATCTTATTTAAGGGCCAAAGCCTTTTCGTTGCTGAAACCTATGGATGAGGATTAATAGCCTAGTATTGTTTTAGCTACAGAAACTATTATATTATATTATATTATAAACTATTATAATTCTTGTCATTTGAAAAAAAATTTCAATAAAATTTGAAAAAAAAATTCTTGCATTTTTGAAATGTCGTAGTTTTTGGCGTGTTCACGGAATTCTCAAAAGACTTTTAGGGTGTCCATCTCTAAATTAGGTAAAAGAACAATGCAGATTATTTTTTAAATCAATATTCATTAGGGTACATGTGCTTTCCAGCTATAGTTTCATCGTTTCTAAATATCGGAAAGTTGGTCTATTTAATGTGGCACTAAAAACTCATGAACACCGTGACCTCCACTCCCAACATCTTAAAATAACGAGGCCAAACGATCCAATATTTTTGTAGGTCACCTTTTTTCTCGATTTTGTGATCAATACAATTCAAGTGGAAAGCAAATGAGTATTCATGAATATTCTTTTGTTCATGACTTATGTTCATGAATACTTGGTTAATTTAATTAATTTAGGGAGAGAACGCCCCACCTATGAGAATTTCCATAGATAAAAACGTTGTAGTTATGTCTCTCACCACTACACTGATCTAGAGTGGCTCTTCCCCTCCATTCGAAGACAATATTTCCTAGGTACATTCCTCTATCATATCATCAACACTCATCTTCCTTCTTACGCCAACAACCTTCTCCAATACAAATCCTCAGTCCACTCCCTTTCCACAATATCTCGACCTTCCGACCTTTACATTCCTTCTCACAGATCTGCCTCGTTCCAAAACTCCTTCATAGCTCGCTCTGTTAAATTTTGGAATTCCGTTCCTATCAAAATTCGGCATTCTTCATCCCTGTTTACATTCAAAACTCTCCTATTCCAATTCCTGTCCCAAAAACAGTCAGATACCCACTAACCGTTTATGTAAAATTACATATTATTCATAATAATTTATTTACATAACTGAAATACTTATTAGCAGATTCGATCGACTTTTTTTTCAATTTTTTCTAAAAGTATATATTTATATTTTACGAGGAGTTAGTCGGGGGAGAGGGGGCGGTCAAATAAATACTAAATTAAAATATAGTAATTATAATATTTTAATTTTGCCGACGTGTTGAATGTTATCAATTCACTCATTTGCCTATTTTACTGATCTTTTTTTTTTTTTTTTTTTTTTTACCATTATCCTTAGAAGTGGAACGCATTCCGGTTGGAAGTGCCGAGTTTTCAGCATTCTCTCCACCTGTTGCTCACCAGTCTTCGAAGCAGGTTTCACCCCCTAACCCAACTAACTATGTCAAGCATTACCCTTGTGTACCTCCTTTGCAGATGCCGTTTCCGTAAGTTAATATTTTTTGCAATTTCCTTACTTTATTATTTTTTTTTGTTCCTAATTTATAAGAAGTATGTTTTAATTAATTTTTAATATTTTCAATTTTGTATAAATATATAGAGAAATAAACCATAATAGAATAAATTAATAACATAGAAATTAAGAACCATAAAAGAAATACAAGCTGACTTAAAAGTTAAATACAATTGGGTTGATGGTTGACTGTAGTGAATAATTGAAGAGAAGAATGGTTGGGCTGAACAGTCAAAAAAATACTGAAAATAAACAATTATATTTATTATATAGTTGCAGACGTTTCGGCCCACAGTTCAGACCTTCATTAGGACTAAGAAATAACCAGATAACAATAGGCATGAGAAACTATAAACATTGAATAATAAAGAATTAAAGTGGTGAAAGGTATAAATTTTAAAAATGTAGTTTGAATAAATTTAAAGTAAAATAAAGTAGATAGAGTGAACATTAAAGAAAAATAAATTAGATTTAATAGAGAACTAAGAAATAAATAATAACGGCAACAAAGTAGGGACTAATGAAATAAACATAATCAAAATAAGGTATCATAAGAAATGAAAAATGAATTAAGTGGTGCAATGTATAAGATAATAAACGTAAGTGTAGACAAAAAAAAAAGAAATATATACATAAATATGATGTAATAGTATGCCAAAAGGATTCTACTATTAATAATCAGTACCCTACCACTGAGCTACCCCACTCCCCATTAATAATTACATAATATGGAACTAAAGGTTCAAGCATAAATATTATTTAAAAAAAAAAACGACTTATCTGTTTTTTTTTCTTAGCCCTGATGAAAGCCTGGACTTTGAGCCAAAACGTCTGCAATTATAAAAATAAATACAATTACTTATTTTAACTATTTCTTTTTTAATGATAGCCGCACCCATTCTTCTCTTCAATTATTCACTGAATCACTCTCAGAGTTTGGCCATTATGAACAGAGAAACCCTACATATAAGTGCACACTGTTTTGATGTGAACTAGCGAAAATCGAAGTATTAAGATATTTAATTTGATGAGATATTGTTCAATGATTTTTTATAACCAGCGATATATATTATATTATATTCTTATGATGTTATGACTTGACAGTATGTGCGATTTCATTTTCTTATTCTTTTTTTTTTAGCTTATTTATTGAGAATTATTACAATCTGTCTCAATTAAGGACATTTATAATGGAGATCAGAGAGCATATTCACACCATATTTACAGAAAAATTTATAAATATAAAGCAATAACAATACAATACATAGAATTTCGAACAAAATAAAATATTATAAGGACAAAAAATTATATGTATTTCAAAAAGTATAATAAACATCTTAGACACAGGCATAGTTTTATATACACTATTCACAATCAGCCAGAGAAAACTCCGCAACAATCTTATTCCATCAAAGCGAGACTCCAGGAGATCCCAGCTTCTCCCTCAACCACTTCACTGCTAATAAAAGTCAGCTAAAAATAAAATAAAATAAAAAATCGAATTGATTTCTGCTTGGCACAATGTTTGATCTAACTTATTGCGAAAGGATCGATATGATAATTTTACACAAGTTGAGATTGTTGAGATTATGGTTAGAAAAAACAAATGAAATTCTCTATATTGGCCAATATACAGTTCATTTAAAAGCTATATACTTCTCAAACAGTATACCATCTACTGGAAGAATGCCTCAATTTAAAAATATCCAGAAAAAAAGTAGGTCTGGAAAAACATCGAGAGGAATCCGCAGGGTAGTGAAGAACGGTATTCTAGTGTGTTTAAATTTTTATATTTGACAAAATACTACTACAAAGTATAACTTATAGTAAAGCGCCAGTGACGCTTTAGGGTAGGAGGCGTGAAAGAGATAGAGAAAGAAAAAGAAATTATCTATAAGTTAACGAAAACTTCAAGAATCATCCAGACAATAAATTAGTGTCAGCTCATATCCTTGAATAAAAGAATTAAGGAATGATATTCTACTTCATATATATATATTTTTTAACATTTTACCTGATACCAGGAGGTCTGATCTCTTTTGAGATTTTAGTATGCACGAATGTTAAATTGATCCACTTAAATTAATTTTTAAAATAAAAAGTATAATATGAAGCTATTGTATGTTTCAGAGGTTACCCGTTCTACCCGCCTGGTTTCCAGTTCAGTTCTTTGCTCATGCCACCACCTCCCTACGATCACTACGAACATTGTGAACAGTGCAATAAAAAAGAATAATAATTGTTTTATTAAATAATTCGACGTCATTTATTTATTATAAAGAGCTTTAATGATTATAAATCAAATTTATTTCCTATTTTAATGTTACATCGAACTTCCTTTAAGATCGATTTAAAGAATAAAATAATTTGTATCTATTTATTTTTGGAATTGTTTGTCATTTAATAAAATTATTATTATTTGATATATTTTTCTATATATATCTTTTTTTTTATACCTTTCCTGTTCTTGTTACTTTTTATTAACTAATCAATTTCATATCAGTCAAATTGATTTGTCTTATTAATCATGAAGATTTATTTATTTAATGTTCTTTAGATTAAGCCAAATAAAAAACATTTAAATAAGGTGAATGATGAATACACACGACAGTTACATTAAGATTAATATAGGGATAGATTGTTAGAATAAATTTTTGTGTTCATAATTCAGTCATGAGTGATAAGTTAATAAGTCAATTAAGCAGTTGAGCGTCGAAAAACCTAATACAATAGTTGATCTATAAACAGTACTTCCCTTCATAGTACTGAACCCAAGACCGTCATGGTAGAGTTGTATAGGTTTATTTAATTTTTATATATAACGGTAAGAGGGAATTATATGAAAAAGAGTATAAGTTGTAATAATACAGTCACTTTATGCATACATAATTTTGTGTTATTTCATTGTATTGTGTTATTTCATTCTAAGCTTTCAATCAATTACAAACGACTCATATATATCACAATAATAAGACCTATTTGGACTTACGAAATTGAGCTTTGGGGCTCCACTAAACCATCGAATTCCTCTCGCATCCAATCCTTACAATGCAAAATCTTTCATAAAATCCTCAACGCTACTTACTTGTCACAAATAAAATCATCCATAAAGATGATGTTCCACAGGTTTCCGATTTGGCCTAATCCAGATACCTATCCTTCCATAGCAAACTGCAGAACCATCCGAACCCTCTCGTTTCAAACCTTGCTTCCTCCTCGATCCCTGATAACCCTCCGAGGCGTCTGAAAAGAAGATAGCCACGGACCTAATATAGAACTTTAATTTGAGTTCTACCAATGTGTAGTTTCTCTTCATGTTACCAATATCACATTTACTTCTTGTATTTTTCATGTAATAACACGTAATACAGTTGTAAATTTCATTCAAATAAAAACAAATTGTATTGTATAAAAGAATCACAGTATTGTATCTCATTTACCTTTATTATCTTCTAAGTCTATATCAAACTTGTTGTTAGATTAATATTAAGTAAAGATATAACTAAATAAACATTAAATAACAGATAACTATACATTTTTCTCATCTTTTACATTCTTTAGTGACATACATTTCTGTTAATGTAGCATAAATGCTTTCATTCAGTATAAGATTTTTTTTAAATAAGTGGGCTACAGTTTAAAAAAAAAAAAACTAAGATATGTGCCTTTCAGTTGACAAAATGACTAACACCAATTTCAACATTATTGAGTAATGTCGTTATGTAATTTAGTGATATTTCATATTCATAGGAAAGTTTTATATCTCAACAGACAGTGAGTAAGTTGATTCCAGCGTAGGTGATTTTAATGTTGAAATATAAAACTGTGAATAAAGGTACAAATTTTCCCAACTGAACTGAAAGGCTCATATAAGAATGACCAAAAATCACAATGGAAGAAACAACAGCTGGTTAGATGGTTTAACAGATTTGCCACTGGGTGATAAAAACGAACCAACTTTAAATAAAATTAATCATTAATCTGTTTGATTAATTACCAAGCAGACAAGGCAATATTCCTAAAAACAATTAATTATGACAGTAGTAATTTCATATAACCAAACTACTTTAATGTTCAAGCAAATAATAAGAAACTCACCAAACTCTAAAGTTCTTAATGTATTTGTGTAATCAGCAATGTATTTCAGAATCAATGTAATTCGAATATATGTTTGCTTTGTCTTGCCTCCGATTACTAAAGTGTATAAGAGTGATTGGCGAAACTTACCTCCCCAAGAAGAGCTTAAACATTATCAGCAGGTTCTAGAAGTATTATTTTATATTATTTATTAATTTTTTACCTAGTTTTTAATTTCTCCGGCTTCAGCCTGAAACTTTGCAAATAATGATAGTAACGCTTCTTCTCCCCCCTCCACCTCCCAAGATGCCCAGAAGGGGGTTTTATGGTCCAAGCTACGCCATCAATAGTTTTAAGGGGGCACATTTTGTCGGGTTTATGAATTTTTGAGGGGGGCACATATCGACGGGGTTATGAATTTTCAGAATGAAATTTTTGTATCCAGAAGTCAAGGAGAAGCATGGAACAGACTACAGGATGTAATCTAGAATTGTTTAAATTCTACATTAGGCTATTGTTTTGAAAGGTGACGAAAATGTGTAGCTTTGGAGTAATTTTAAAATAATTTTTAATTTTTTGACTCTCTACAGTGAATTTTATAATTTGAAGGATTTTGAGGAGATAAATTTTGCAATAATTATATAAAATTATGATTATATGAATTATATAATAATGATATTGAATTATTCGATTTGAAAATGGGCAAAATTGCTTGAAACGTCATCAAGGAATTTAAATGAATTAAAACATTGAATAAACGTATAAGGGTAAAATAAAGTGTTTTTCTTGATACTATAAATTTTATGTTTAAATTCTACTTTCTTGGACTCTTTTTAAGAAGAGCACATTAATAAAATATCTTGAGGGTGGGTAGTGGGAAAGAGTTTCATGGGCCATCGATCGTGGGAGAGAGGGATGGGTACTCCTGTTTCCACCTACATAAAAAAAGAAGTGTTGCTGGAGATTAAAATCAATTCATTCAAGAAAGCACATTGATACTGGTGTTATTTTTCGTCTCAATTATTACTGCTATATATATATATATATATATATATATATATATATATATATATATATATATATATATATATATATCAATATATGTAATCCCTTTGGGGCCAATCTGGCAATGTCCTTCTCACCGACTTTCTCAGGTTCAAGAACAGTGACAAATCGGTCTAGATCCATGGTGACAAATAGGTCCTCGTGCGCCTGCTGACTCCGAGCAGCCATAATCCATGGATCTAGACCGATTTGTCACTGTTCTTGAACCTGAGAAAGTCGGTGAGAAGGACATTGCCAGATTGGCCCCAAAGGGATCGGCTATTGAGCTACGGGTGGCCTGCCGCTGCACCATGGAAACCATGGTTCAAAGCAACGTGAGGTTGGGTGACCCCCTCCAGGCTATCTGAGCTCCTGCAAGTATCACACGTCTGTAAGGAGACCACATCTCGCGGCCAAAAATCTTCATGGTCTCTAGTGCCAACCGATAAAAAAAAAGAATATATATATATATATATATATATATATATATATATATATATATATAATATATATATATATATATATATATATATATATAGATAGATAGATAGACAGTTTTCAAGCTTAAATTCTATCAGACAATGAGTAAAAGTGTCTCGAAATCAAATACAGTTTATGAAGTTATATCAACGATTGGGTAATAGATAAAAATGTTCTTTTAAGAACGTGTTTTATTACCAATAACGTTTATCATAATCTACGAGAAAACTCCTTTACATTTTCATTTACTCCATAAAAAAATTGATAATGATAGATTACATTTAAAACACATATATATATATATATATATATATATATATATATATATATATATATATATATATATATATATATATATAATTAAAAAACAAAACAAAATACTTTATAACTAGTTGGCCCATGCGAAACATTCCCAGAATATTTTTTTTAGTAAAGAAATAGCAAAACAAAATGGAAATAAGTAGTTCCTATGTATTATGTAAGGAAGGAATTAATATTTCCTTGGTCGATTGCAATATTCCATTAAACGTAATAGACCAAAATATTTGCACATATTGCTTTGCTAGGATCTATTTTTAAACGCTGACTGGAAAGATATTAAAAGTGATAAGGACAAAATAATGCCCCGATCATGAGATATAAATTAACTATTAGAAAGACATAAATTTAACAATATATATCAATTAGCGTCAGAAACAATAAATGATTTTGTAGCCCGTTTGAAAAGAGCATCTATGCACTGTAACTTTCCCGATGTTGAGATGTCACTAAGAGATCAGTTTGTTTGCGGTATAAAGAATCATGAGACACGAGTTGAATTATTTAGAAAAGAGAAGGTTTCATTTTCAGATTCTTTGAAAATCGCAGAGACCAGGGAACTGGCAATGGAAAGTGGTTCTAACACCGCAGGCACTAGCAACTCATCGGATAACGTATGCTCGCAGGTAAACTATATCAGAGGAAATACAGACAGCAACAAATCACCTAAAGGTATAAATCTAGAATTAACTCAAGGGCGGTCTAGTTATGGGAAGATGCAGTGTAAAGAAGACTTAATTAAAAAAGGTAATACACATCCATCATTATTTAATAGCAATAAAAACAATTTTAGTTGCTTTTGTTGCGGTGAGATTAGCAGTCACTATGCTAGAGAATGTATCCACAGATTTAAAGTGTGTAACTTTTGTTATGTCAGGGGGCATTTGGAAAAAATGTGTCCAAAAAAACGGAACAAAAGAGTAAAGCAAAGAGTAAATTATTTAGAAGAGGGCATAAAAACAGAAGACGATAGTAATAATGAACAAAATTTTTTTCACTTAGAACAAATTCTTTTAGAGGACATTGAACTATCGAATGCGAATTAGATGAATATGGAATCCAAGGCGGAACCGTTGGTCATTGATTTGTCAATAAATGAAGTTAAAATTACAATGCAAATAGACACCGGATCATATGTAACAGTGATAACAAAAGAATCGAAAGATCGATATTTTTCACATACAGCAATGATCGAACCTGACCTAACCTTAACAACATATGGTAAAAACGATTTGAAGCCTATAGGGATGCTAACAAATTTGAAAGTGTCATTTAATGATAAGGAAGTAAATGATGTAAAATGCTATGTTTTACCAGGGAGCGCTCCCTCTTTGTTGGGAAGAAGCTGGCTTAACAAACTTGGCATGTGGCCATTCAAACTAGAATTAAATTATTGTAATTCAGAGGATACAAGT